AGTGGAAATATCATCAATTGAAATGTTTTATTGGAAATCTACCGAAACCCTGAGAATAAAACAGGAGTGGAATATGTTTGAAAGGTTGTTAGAAACACGAAGGGATGGGAAGCACGGTATTTCAAAAGTGTATAGAATACTCACAGAATTAGACACAAACACAAAGTTAATTTTTAGAACAAAATGGGAAAGGGATATGGGAGTTGGGTTTGATGAGGATAAACAGAGAAAGATGTTTAGATTGATACACGATAATGTTAGTATGAGAGAGGTTGAGATTAATTATAAGTGTGTGACACGATGGCACATTACACCGAGTGTAGAGCACAAGATGAATGGGGAAAATTAAAATATGTGTTGGAGAGGATGTGGAGAGATAGGCACGGTGTTTCACATATGGTGGGAATGTCTGAAAATCCAGGTTTTTTGGAAGATAATAGTCAAATTGATTGAAGAAATAACTGAAATTGACATAGGGTTAGACCCAACGACGTGCCTCCTACACAATGTGGAGACATCTGTAAATAAATATAAAGACTCAGGTATATGGTACTTCTTGAATGCGGCGAAAGGGTTGATACCCAAGTTTTGGCAGAAATCTGAGGTACAGAAGGAGGAAGAACCGATTAATAGAGTAAACCAGATAGGTAGAATGGAAAGATCATACCATATGCAGGAAGATAGGATGAGAGTTTATTATAGGAGATGGGAAAAGTGGGAAAGAGCAGGATTGAAAGAGAAATATAGGAAAATATGAACTAGGATGTTAGTAAAAAATTAATAAGCCTCGAGAGATTAGAATGGGCTAGAGTCTGCAGAGGGGGAGGAGGGGGGATGAGGGTGGGAAGGGGGGGTAGTGGGATGGGAAAGAAAAGAGTTTTTAGTAGGGGAAAGGTAGAAATGTTATAAATGTCTATTTGTATGAGAATTATTCCCCTTTTTGGGTATTTGTATTAACATGAAAAATTTAATAAATATTTAAATTAAAAAAAAAAAAAAATAATAACTGAGCTCCTCCAGTCCCCTTATTACCTTTGTTGCCCTTCTCTGGACTCTCTCAAGCTCCAGCACATCCTTCCTGAGGAAGAGCTAGATGGCATACTCCAGATGTGGCCAGAAGAGAGTTTTATAAAGTGGCAGTATTATTGTTTTATCTCTTGAGTAAATCCTCTTTTTTATGTATGCTAATATTCTGCTAGCTTTGCATTGCATGCCATTGCTGAGTATGACCCCCAGATCTTTTTCCATCCTGTTTTTACACCCTAAGTGCATTACTTTACATTTTTCAACATTAAACCTCATCTGTCATGTATTTATATATATTTTTGCACACCGGCTTCTGTTATCCACAAGTGTACATTCTGTGATGAGTTCCTAATGATACAGCCATGATCACTAATCCCTCCATTTCCTTTGTAAAAACAGAGAAGAATGCATTTAGTACATTTACCTTCTCCATGTCATTTGTAACCAACTTCTCTTCATCATCCTTTATGGGGCCATTATGTTCTGACCTTGCTTTTATACTATTAATATATTTAAACATTTTCTTAAGATTTTTTTTTTTACTGCCTTCCACTATGTGCCTTTTGTAGTCTATTTTAGCTGCTCTGTTTGCATTCTTACACTTCTTATTGCATTCCTTGTTATATTGGAATGCGGACAATGGGGACAGTTCACTAAAGGTTATCGTATGTGTTATGTTGGTAAGGTGATCACATATTGCCTGAGATACTGAAAATGTCAATTTACTGTTACTAGTATGCAGTATTTACCGCAAACAGCAAAAACGCTTGGTAAATACCGCATAAAAAGATCTTAAAGTCAATTCACAGAAGGAAATATAATTAATAATTAAATGCATGCGGTAATCAAGTAGTGCTCGAGGCATGTGGTATGTACTGGTTGTTAAGGAGCAGGCGGCCGTCACATCCTTAACAACCGAGGAATTATCAGCTGGTGTTCCCCGCTGACAGCTAAGAAAAAGTCCTTCGGGTTTGGTATGGATTTTGAGGGGAACCCCCACATAGTTAGTCTGGCTGACAAAAGACAAAAGTCCATCCAGTTCAACCAAAAAAAAAGTTATAATCCTATACCCACAGTTGATTCAGAGGAAGGCAAAAAAACCCAGCAAAGCATGATCTAATTTGCTCCTGCAGGAAAAAAAATTCCTTCCTGATCTTCCATAAGGCAATCGGATATTCTCTGGATCAACTTTACCTATAAATGCCCAAAAAAATCAATTAATTAAAAAATTCCATAGCAAACCCTTATACGAACATGCAGCCCGACAGGTCAGGAATGGGAGGGCAACCAACATGGGGGGAAGGGGGGTTTTGGGGTGCTCTGCCACAGGTCGATGAATCACATGGGTGTGGGGTCACCTGGTGACATAACTGGGTGGCCCTGCCCCTTAGTTATTTAAGAACTGTCAGGTGGCGAAGCTGTCAGACGGCGGGAGCCTTTTTTTGGGGGGGGGGGGGGGGTCAGCGGTGTTGGTGGGCATCGTGATTCACAAAAGATTTACACTGGGGGGGGGTTTTATTTAATTTTTTTTTAATAAAAATTGCCTCCTGTTTTATTTTCTACTACATTTTTTTTTTGTAAAGGAGTAGAGGTACCATGTACCCCATGGGGGGGGGGGGGGGGGGCAGGATCTGGGAACCCCCTTGTTAAAGGGGGCTTCCAGATTCCAATAAGCCCCCGACACGCAGACCACCACAACCACTGGACAGGGCTGTGGGGAAGAGACCCATGGCACCATCAACATAGGGACAAGGTGCAGTTGGGTGGGAGCCAAACCCCCCCGCTCCAAAGCACCCCCCCACATGTTGGGCTGTTGGCACGTGGCCTGGTATGGTTCAGGGAAGGTGGGGCACTCACTCATCCCCCCTTTTCTGACCTGCTGGGCTTCCTGCTCAAATGAAGGGTTTGGTGTGGATTTTGGGTGGGTCCCAACATCATCTTTTTATTTTGATGTGGGGGTTCCCCTAAAAATCCATATCAATGGGGGGACCCCATGCCATTTTTGTTTTTTAATTTTTAATTGCCAGCAATTATTTTTTTTACATTCAGCTGTCAGAGGAAAACCATAGTGACAGCTTATGACTCATTACATTACCGTATATTTTCACTACTAAAATACCGCATGACTAACTCATACAGGATTTTAGTAGCATTTTTTAGTGAATGCCAACAGTTTTTTTAAAACACTATGAGGTATCTAACCGCATACTTGGATCGCTGTAAGATACCACTTTGTGAATTGTCCCCAATGACCTCTCTTCCTTATATTTCTTAAAGGCCATTTTTTTTTCTCTTCGATATGTCTTTTTACACTGCAGTTTAGCCACCCAGGTTTAATCGTATCTCTTTTATATTTCTTGCCCATTGGAATACACTGGAATGTACATTTATTTGATATGTTCCTAAAGTACTGGTATTTTTCCTTAGTGTTCAATGTTTCTAGGATTTAGTCCCATTTGATATCTTGTAGTATTGAGCGCATTTTAGAAAACTTGTCTCTTTTGAAATTTAGCGTTCTTGTATTATTACCCCTGTATTTCCTTTTCCTATGATTTATGCTGAATGTAATTATCCTGTGATTGCTGGTTTCCAAGTTGTCCTGTATTTCCACATCCACAACCAGATCTGTGTTATTTGTGATTAATAGATCTAGCAGTGCTTTCTTTCTAGTTGGGGCATCCACTAATGAAGTTGTCCTGTAAGAAATTTAAGAACGGATGAGCCTTAGATGAGTGAGCTGTTCCATCCACCCAATCAATATCTAGATTGTTGAAGTCCCCCATTGCCCTGCATCGCTGTCATTTCTATCTGTGATAGGAGATCCAGCTCCACCTCATCCTTTAGGTTTCGGGGCCCGTAGCATACTCCCACTATTATTTCCTGCTTATTTCTTCCCTTTGAAGTTCTACCCACAGGGATTTCACCTCCCCCTTGCCCCATTTGCAATGTCGTGCCTCACGTTCACAAACAAATCATTCTTGATATACAGGCACACCCTTCCTCCTCTTCTACCCTCCCTGTCCGTCCGATACAAAAGAAATACCCCTGGATAATTACCAGCCAGTCACATGAGCTGTCAAACCACCAGTTTCTGATATTCCCACAATGTCAAAATCCTCCTTGTGCATCAGCAGTTCCAGTTCTTCCATTTTGTTAGCTAGATTTCTAGCATTTATGTACATGCTTCTCAGTTTTATACAGGCCCATATTATTTTCTCCTTAGTTGTTCTGTGGCTGTGATTATGTTTTGCCAACCCACTCCCCCCTGGTTTAGGTATTAAGCTTATACTCCCCCTAATGCCTCCATTAGCACCCTCTGACTTTAGCTTGTTAGACAGGGTCAAGTTGGTTGTTTTGCAGTCTGACTGGTAAGTGTGCTGGGAAATCATTGTTTGCTTGTGATATACATCATTTTAGACCTAACATCACCACTGGGTCATTGTGCTTCACTAGGCAATGCAGGCAGATCAACACTGATGGAAGGGGCTGGCAGAGTGCCATACATAGCTTCTTGAAAACATCACAGCACCCAGTCTCAGTACTCCTCTCAAGAACCCTCAGTCTGATGAAAGTGTGCTGGCTTTTGTCAACAAATATCAAAGATGCCTTAACGGATGAATATCAGTCTGAAGGAGCGAGCATTCCTAGGAAAACAACATTTGTATGCACACTGCCCTAACTAATGCCAACATATGACCCTGAGCCTCCATGATTTGAAGAACTGAAATACACTGAATGAAAGGGGAGCTAGGACAGTTGGGCTGGAGAGAAAAGGGCTAGAAATGGTGCAGAGGAAGTGGAGGGGGATTACAAAGGCCATAGTAGTGGAAGAAGGAAATGGATGGTGAAGACAGGATAGGGGACAGGAAAGGGAGTACAACTGATACTGGAGCATTGGGGAAAGAAGGGAAAACAAGTTGTAGAGGAAGGATGTTATAGAAGACAAATGTGAACACACTAAAAGGCTAAATTACCTCCAACACACGCTGGACATCCAAAATGGTTATAAATCCTTTCTTATCCTTATCAAACTTGTGAAATCGTTTCTTATACCTAGAAGAAATAGAATACCTTACTGACATAAACCATATAAATGACACATTAGATTACAATCCTAAACAACCTCAAAGGCTGTACAGATATACAGATACAGTGGGTATACTTGTGGTCTACGCTATTTTCTCTAAGTTCAGATACTGTTTCTCTCTGCTACTAAACTAATTCCTACTTACACTGTCTTCGCTTGAGAGGTCACAGCATATTGCTATGTTCGTATTCAGGCATCTAGGAGGTAGAATTAAATAACAGTCAAAAAGAAAGCGGAAAACTAAAAATGTTTCAGTGGTTTACTTATAGAAATTTTTTTTTTTTCGTATTTTGTGCAGCTGCACCTGCACACACCTTATAGCCTAAAGATTATAATGACATTGTTGTGCATGTGTGATCATTTCTGTTTCTCAGAGGTGATCTGCATGGAGGCCTTCAGCAACACAAGTTCAATATGACTTCTTTAACATACCCATATCAGGGAAGTACAGTGCTTGCCAGAGTGCCTCATTCTGCTTGGATGTGGTTTGCGCCACCTTTGTACTAGGATTCGTGGGCAGTAGTTTTTTTATATGGAGGTGGGACATGGATTATCATACTCCATGCTTGACAAAGAACTCGTTGTGGCACAAAACATGGCTGATTTTATGAAGGATTTTAAAGTGGTTGTAAACCCTTACATATGCCCAGTGAAGTGACTGGTCTCAGGTGATACACAGAGATAAAACAAATCCTCCTACATTAGTTGTACTTGTCTATCTGCAGTTTTCTCTTCTCTATATCCAATCAAAGTGTTGAATTTATAAAGCTTGTATAGCTATCAAAAAAAGGGGCTGGAGAGCTTAAGTTACACTCTGCAGAAGCTCAGTGAGAAGAGCTCTGAAAGCTGATTGGATGGAAGGTGCACACCCCCTTCCACACAGCTGACAGGAACAAAACTGAGACTGTCAATCTATTAAAGATCCCTCCCAGTAACCATTTTTCTCTTGGTGTCAGGAAAACTTGTCAGATGTGATTCATGCTGATAGAGAAGAGGAATTAAGCAGCTGACAGAAATTACACTTAGTGCTCTTAATTGAGAAAAGTACACACTATAGAAGTATATGCTTTGTTCATATTTCAGGTCTAAGGTTTACATCCACTTTAACTTTGTACTGACACATAATTGGGGGGGCGCATGCCTGCCGCTGGAGCACCGCTTCTGCTATGATTAGACACAGCAGAAGTCAATCAACAGGTGCTGGCCAATAGATAAGCGCCGGCACGCGTTGATTGCTAAGGACACTTACATAACGCAACTCCGTGTTAGGTCAACTGCGATCTGCTAGGTATTCAGGGAATAAATTTATTTTAATCAATTGATTTAAATTAATCAGATTACCTAGTAAAAACAGTACACAGTGCACACAAAAACACTGGCTAAACACACCCTTCCCAGCCAGTGTCATTAATACAGTGACAGTGTAGCAGAATACATTTTGGCATAAATTTATGAAGAAATTTGATTTTTAACATTTTTTTATTGGATGTTTTATAGCAGAAAGTAAAAAATATTGTGGGTTTTTTCTTTCTTTTTAATGTCGGTGGTTTTTTTTTCATTTATAGAGCAAAAAATAAACAATGCAGAGGTGATCAAATACCACCAACAGAAAGCTCTATTTATAGTGAATAATTACAAATTTCATTTATGTATGGCGTTGCATGACTGCGCAATTGTCAGCTAAAGTAATGCAGTGCTGTATTGCAAAAAATGGCCTGGTCAGGAAGGGGAGTAAATCTTCCGGAGGGCAAATGGTTAGAGTAGAGCTATAGGCAAAACTTCTTTTTTTCATTTTGGATAGAGTAAAGGAGGGTTATAACTCCTGTCGGGTTTTTTTTTTTTATAATTTTTCAATAGTTTTTATTGAAGGTTTTTATGACATAACAGGGTATGGGTATATGGTTCATCAGCATACATGGTGATACAGTATAGTATTGAGTATGTTCCCCACCAGTTGGCTGGGGTTGATAGTGGTGTGTATGACATTGATGTGAGAGGTATTCTCGGTTATGATTTGAACCATGTTGAGATGTGTACGTGGTCGGGGAGGGATGTAGAACAGGGAGAAAGGGTAAGGGGGGAGGGGTAGGTAGGGAAAGGGTGGATGCATCCAGTCTTTAGTGGTCAGGTTAGTTTATAATTGGATGATCAGCATTTTACAGAACAATTTGGTTTTTGTAGCCAGCGAGACCATTGGGGATTAAATATATGTTGGGTGGAGTTGTTAAGGGCGGATCTTTTTTCCATTTCACATTGGAACTTAAGGTCTGTTATCAGTGACGTGAGGGAAGGGATATTAGTAGCGTTCCATAACTTGGTGATATTTATTTTGGCCGCAGATAGTGTATGAATGATAATAGTGTGGGTGTGGGGAAATGTGTCAATTCCAATGTGTAGGAGTGCAAGTGCAGAGTTTGGGTTATTGAGGTGTGTTGAATAGCTCAAAAATCAATTGGAAGACGCTGTTCCAGAAGAATCTAAGTGATTTGCAAGATCATAGTATATGTAGTGTTGAGCCTATTTTCTCCGCATTGTCTCCAGCAAGAAGAGGATTGTTTTGGGTAGTACAGGGATAATCTAACGGGCATTAGGTACCATTGATGGAGGATTTTTAGGTACGATTCCCAATGAGAACTGCATCGGGAAGATTTATGGGTGATGCTGAAAGCTTTTTTCCCATGATTGTGCTGTTATTAGTTGTGAGAGGATTTTTCCCCAATTAGTTAGAGATGTAGTTTGTAGGGTGAATTGTGAGTTTATATTATGTATGTGTAGACGATGGAAAATACCCTTACCCGGGTATTGAGGTTTAGTGAAGAAATGGTATGCAGTAATAGGGATTTTTGTGAAATGAGGTATATTTTTCATTTGTATACAGTGAGCTACTCTTAGGTAGATGAAATATTCGGTGGTGGGGAGATTAAATTTGATTTGGAGAGATTAAAAAGAATTTATGTTGTGGTCTGTGTAAAGGTCTTTTATGTTATTTAGGCCACGATGTAGTATGTTAATTGGGGTGGGGATGTGTTTAGTGTCTATGAAGTTAGTAGTTAGGAGATCGTACCAGGCTTGTAGAGAGGCTTGGATACATGGATGTTTTTAGTTGATAATTGGTTTGGGGTGTTAGCGGTATTAAGAATATGTTTCGGGGTTGAGCACGGAGAAATGGGAGGGTTTCCATTGTGGACCAGATTTTCTCCTTTGTTGGGTTCCACCAATAGTATATTTGGTCAAAAGAATTGCGTTATAGTAGGTTTTTAGGTGTGGAAGGCCTGCTCCTCCTCTGGATGTTGGGGCGTATTAGGAGATTTGTGGTGCATCTGGGTTTAGAGAAGAAGGTGTTGGGGATGGGTATGGAAGTGTGAGGAATATGTATAGGATTTTGGGCAGTATGTAAATTTTCAAAGTTGCTACTCGTCCTAGTTTGGAAAGTGCTGTGGTATGGAGTGAGGCAATTTCTTGTGGAATGGTTTCGAGTAGCATCTTGTGTGTTTGAGGAGTATAATTGATCTGTAGTTGCGGTGAGTTTGATTCCTAAGTAGGGAATATTGTGTTTCTCCCAGAGAAGGGAAATTGTTTGGCTATTAGTGTTTGAGGTGGTGTGTGGAGATTTAAAAATTGAGGATTAAATTTGCAGTAAGAAACTTTTGAGTAGTTTTGAAGGTGTGTGCGAATTGTTTGGAGGGACTTGTTTGGGTTGGTTACCATTAGTATGATGTCATCTGCGAATAGGCTTATTTTATGTTCTGTGTTGAGATGTTTGATTCCAGTAAATGCTGTGTCATCTCTGAGTTTGGAAGCTAAGGGTTCAATGAGCAATGTAAATATTATGGGGGATAATGGGCAGCCTTGTCTAGTGCCGTTTGTGATGTTGAATGGATCTGATAATGTTCCATCTGTTAGTAACTGGCTGATGGGTTAGTGTATAGGAATAGGATGGCTGTCAACATCCAGCCTGTTATGCCGAATTTCTGTAGGGTCAATTGCATAAATTGCCAATGTATTCGGTCAAATGCTTTTTCTGCGTCTAAGGATAATAGTAGGGAGGGTTGTTTGGTGAGTTCTAGGTTGTGGAGAAGGGATATAAGTCTTCTAGTTGCGTCGGGTGCTTGGCGGCTTGGGATGAATCCAACTTGGTCTGTTCGGATTTATTAATACAGGGAGATAAGGGAGGATTCTTTGGGCTATTATTGTTACATAACGTTTTATGTCTGTGTTGAGTAATGATATTGGTCCATAGTTCTGGACAAGTTGTGGGTTTTTGCCAGGTTTTTGGTATAGTCGTAATTATAGATTGTAACATACAGTCAGGTCCATAAATATTGGGACATCGACACAATTCTAAACATTTTTGGCTCTATACCCACCACAATGGATTTGAAATGAAACAAACAAGATGTGCTTTAACTGCAGACTGGCAGCTTAAATTTGAGGGTATTTACATCCAAATCAGGTGAACGGTGTAGAAATTACAACAGTTTTGCATATGTGCCTCCTACTTGTTAAGGGACCAAAAACTAATGGGACAGAATAATGATCATAAACCAAACTTTCACTTTTTAATACTTGGTTGCAAATCCTTTGCAGTCAATTACAGCCTGAAGTCTGGAATGCATAGACATCACCAGACGCTGGGTTTCATCCCTGGTGATGCTCTGCCAGGCCTCTAATGCAAATGTCTTCAGTTCCTGCTTGTTCATGGGGCATTTTCCCTTCAGTTTTGTCTTCAGCAAGTGAAATGCACGCTCAATCGGATTCAGGTCAGGTGATTGACTTGGCCATTGCATAACATTCCACTTCTTTCCCTTAAAAAACTCTTTGGTTGCTTTTGCAGTATGCTTTGGGTCATTGTCCATCTGCACTGTGAAGCGGCGTCCAATGAGTTCTGAAGCATTTGGCTGAATATGAGCAGATAATATTGCCCAAAAAAACACTTCAGAATTCATCCTGCTGCTTTTGTCAGCAG